GTTTGTCCCCATATCTGAGACTTAGCTGGGAAACCGGCTTTCCTGGAAAGCAGGTTTGAGGTGGTGAGATTTCCAGGACAGCTTCCTTCCTCATGTTTTGTGGAGGTGACTCTCCGGGGGCTTCCCTCCCGGGATGGGGATGCTAGAACTGGGGCTCGCTGCAGGATCCAGATCTGCAGAGCTATAGAGTTATCTGTTTTTCAACTTTGAGCCCTGAGAAGAGTTCTGAGTGGTTCCAAATTGCTCCTAACTCCCCAGCCCTGAATGACCCCTCTAGGAGATCACAGTCGGGATGTGTAGTGAAAAGAGCCTGGGCTTTAGAGTCAGGCAGACCTGGGTTCAAACCCTGACTCTACCACTTTCTAACACTATCTCCTAGCAGGCCCTGAGGCTCCCCTTGGACCCAGAGCTCTGCCCTCCTCAGTTAGGGGTGGCCTTCTGTCTGCAGAGGGTCTTGTTTTCCTGTGCTGTTCCTACACGTGAGTCTTGAGGCAATCTCAAGTCTGACCCTTCTTATGCTTTGTGCCTGGTACAATTGTCACTGACTAATTGCCCCAAGGAACTCAAGGGTTTGTTCTGACAGCATTGAACTATTTTTCCAAATTGTTTTTTTTTTCCTTTTGTTGTGTTAAGAGATGCAGTCACCAACCACCTTGAACCAGACCAATCCTGGCCACAAGAGCTATGCCTATGACCTTTGCCTTGTTTTTAATGCTAAGATCTCTCTCGGTTAGGCCTTATTACCATAACCTGCAGCGTATGTGGAAGCATGTTTTCCAACTGAGCCTGCACAAGTGAATACCCACCTCTCCCTTTTGAATATTCATTCCTTGTCTGAAATGAAAGATCCCTGCTTCCCTTTGTTCGGGGAGCCATGACTTTGGAAATGATTCCACGTGGTCTCCTATTTGCTGCAAATATACATTTATTTGTGTGACAACTACTTCTGGTGGAGAGTCTGATTTAACTTGCCAGGAGGCAAACCCACTTTGGTTTCAGTAACACAATGATAAGCACTTTTGAGCACTGTTTTACTTAATTTTCAAAATGGCAATGTGAAGCATGATTCTGACACCAATTACAATGTGTGGTTTTTTTCACACCACCAAGCAATGCTCCAACACCAGCTGGGTGTTCTACAATTCAACTCAATTCTGACACTATCTTCCTGGAGATAGTGTCAAATTTCACATATTAAGGACTCAGTCCTACAAGACTATGGCCCCCCACCCCTTTAGATGCCAATTTCATGTCCAAGTTGTTACCTATGCTTCTGACCGACTGGCTATAAATCAGAGGTTCCAATGACCCCCTCCTTGGGTTTGATCCATTTGCTAGAGTGGCTCACAGAACTCAGAGAAACATTTTGCTTATTAGATTTCCAGTTTATTATAAAAGGATATAACTCAGGAACAGCCAGATGGAAGAGATGCATAGGGCGAGGTATGGGGAAAGGGCACAGGGCTCCCAGAGCTCTCCAGGTGTTACCGCCCAAAAACGGAGTTCATCTGCCTGCCACAAGATGTGCCAATAGTCAAGAGGCAAGGTAGTAGGAGAGAAAGGACTTTTTATTACAGCTTGCTAGCAAGAGGTAAGATGGCCAACTAATGTCTGAAAAAACCATCTTAAGGGGGCAGAAGATCTTACAGCAGTTATATAGGCTGGTGGGTTACAGGGGAGGGAGTTAAGAATGTTGATCCTCTGGTGTTATAGACTGGGAGTTCCCACACCACATCTTTCAGTTTTCATTGATGATGGCTATCAACATAGACTCTCTGTTCGGGTGCGTCATCACATTCTTAAGGAACTCAAAAGAACAAATTTATCATCTTATTGCAGGTGGGAGGTATATGCCCAAGCAGGGATAGTAAAATCTACAGAGCAGTTAGATCTCCTGGAGGGTGCATATTCAGCTGTGTTAGTTAGTCAGAGGTCATTCAAAGTTACAATAGGGTTTCTTTTCTACAATGTGGCTTCCCTCATGTCAGCCTTGTGTTGCACCAGTATCACAGGCACACCACTCTCCCCCAAATCTCCACTTGTTCATCAACCTGGAAGCTCTCTGAACCCTGTCCCTTGGGGTTTTTATGGAGACTTCATTACATAGGCATGATTGATTAAATCATTGACCATTGGTGATTGAACTCAATCTCCAGTCCCTTTCCCCTCCTTGGAGGTCAGGGGTAGGACTGAAAATTCCCACCTTCTAATCACAGGTTTAGTTCCTCTGGCAACCAGCCCCCATCCTTAGGTGACCTAGGGGCATTCCAAAAGTCACTTCATTAACATAACAAAAGACACCTTTTTCCCCAAGGGTTTTAGGAGCTCTGTGCCAGGAATGGGAACAAAGACCAAAAATATATTTCTTATTATAAATCACAATATCATAGAAATTAATGCAATTATTCCCATATTACAGCTGAGACTGAGACTTACTGAGATAACTTGCATGAAATCACAGGACTTTTAAAACGTAGGACCACTGGAACCCAGGTCTTCAAGGCTTGAAAGAAGGCAACACACCATGATGGAAAGAGGAAAAGCTTTGAAGGCAGAGACCTGAGCTCAGTTCTTGCCTCTATTCTAGCTGCAGGACCTCATGTAACTCCCTTAAGCTTTCTCAGTTTCACTTTCCTCTTCTGTCAAATGAAGAGAAATGTTCTGTAGAAGAGTTCTGAGGACGAAATGAAGTGGTGTATATAGAACTCCTGTCACCCAGCACTGAGAAGCATTAGATTTCACTACCACCTCCTCCATCACCCGACATTCTCTGCCCATGCTCAGTCATCTTTCCACTACATCATACTGTTCTCAGCCCGATATGGGAAATCAGGCAGGAACACAAATAACTCTGATAGAAGAGAGAAAGCAGTAAGTATTGTACCAGCAGACAAGCTTTGCTCAGATGTCCAAGCAGAACTTCATGGAGACAGCGATATTGAATCTGGACCTGAAATGTTTTGTCAGATTTCAAGACGGTGGGAGGATCCCAGGATTCCACATCTGGTAACTAGATGGGGCAGAGGGTGGGGTGATGGATGTGTAAGTATTCCGTAGACTAAAGGGCTGCAGTGTGTGAAATGGCATTATTAAGGTCATGCCTATGTTCTAGGTTCTAGGCTAGCCCTTGGCGGTGGTACTTAAGCTCACAATCCACATTGAGGCTGGACGAGCCCTCCCCTTCTGAGCTCCCCACTGCCATCTGGTGGTCATCAGGATCCCAGGCCCCAGCTGGAGGGGCTGACAGTGGGGCAGCCTCATAAAGGCTGTATGTCCTTCAGAAGCAATGGTGTGGATTGTGGGGGGAATGCTGTGAAGCCTATGGGTGACCCTATTTCCACCCCCTGGAAAAGTTGGCACAAGAGAGAAAGGCCCAATATGTTGCCTTCAGCAACTCAGACCAGCTGGGATTCTATTTTTAACCAGCACTGTCTTAGTTGACAGCTTGGAACGCCTTCTCCCTTCTTTTCTTCCTGCCTCTTGCAGCCCAGAGCCATGGAGAAAGGATGGATGGGAGCAGCCTCAGTGCTGCTAAACAGAAGCCCACTCTCCTTTCTCACTGTCCTTGGCTCCATCCAGCCTTTGTCCAGTGTAGTTAGTGGGTGGATTTTAGAAGTATTATTGGCTGTGAAGCTAATGAGTCTTAAATTTCAGGGCTTCTCACTTGCACAGGCCTCTTCCAAGGCCCTGGTCAGTGTCCCAGCTATTTTGTATCTGCAATTTTTTTTTTTCTTAAAAAAGGGCACCCAATTTTATAAGCTCTAGGCCCCACAAAACTTGGGTCTGCCCTCTGATGGGTATGGCTTTTTTCCCATCTCCAGCTCAGTGGCTACTTCAACAGGATTATTTCTGTCTTTCTCTAATTTATTGTACTACCTTGAGCAGCTTTTTTCTTGCTCTGGGTCTCAGTTTCCCCATCTGCTACAAGATGAAGTGTCAAGGAAGCCCTCTCCCAACGTACCATGCCTCTGATTATCCATGCATGTCCCCTGGGTGAGGTCATCTGTTCTTCCCTGTTTGTCCTTGTGTGTGTGGAGAGTGCTGTTGCTGTCTCTGCTTTTCTCTGGCGCTGGATCAGTCTTATAGTCAAAAAGGAGGCTGCTCTGGAATTCCTATTCAGGTCCAGTCCCCCCATCCCACCTCATTGTTGCTGGCCAGTAAGTGTGCCTCCAAGGGGCAGAAGCTTGGCCAGGTTCTGACACCAGAGAAGGGTGCATTAAAAAGGCCCTACTCTTTAATTAATTTCTGTATACCTGTCATGGTCTGACTCCCGGTGTTTCAAACACACATTGAATAAACTGAGTCTTACTATACAGTGTTTCTTCTTTCATCTTTTCATTAAAATTTTAATAAGCATCTATTAAAATAGTACCTTAACAATGGCACAACTTTAGGAGAATGTGCTCAGGAACATGATGTGTCAGGGATATTCCACCTCCCCCCACCCACCCCCCATTGCCAGCTACTACATACAACACTGGCATGTAGATGAGTCCAGGATGTTATCCCAGAGAGAATACACACAGCCTCATCTAGCCTCAGACCACGGGCTTTGTGGCAGGGGGTCATATACAGGAGTGAGCAGCAGGGAGAGGGACCTGACAGGAAGGACTCCATAAAATCTGGTGCCTCCTCACCTGTCCCCAAAAAGTCCAGAAAGGAAGTTTAAGAGGAAGCCAAGTCATTTATTGTTTTTTGAAGAGACGAGGTGAAGGAGGAGGGGACAGGGCCATAGTATTTAATTGGAAAGGAATGACAGGACTTTTCAGTACAAAACAGCCTGTTGGGCAGGGAAGTGTAAGATTAGGCCTACCAGCTGGTGTCTCCAGCACTGACTGGGGAAGGGCACTGTGAGGTCAAACTGGGGGCAGCCTGGAGCATCTCAGGAGTCAGCTCCATGCCAAGCTCCAGAGCCCTAAAAGAATCAGTGCCATTACTATATGTGTATGTGAGAGGCAGGTGAGCTCCGTCAGAGCTCCCGCTGTGTAGGGATGGTCCGCTGCTAGGGACACTGTGTCTCTGTATGTCCAAGGGCAGTGCCATGTTTCTACGTGCCAGGCTCAGTCCTATACCAAGAGTGTGCCTCATTTCCTGTGTGGGGGTCTGGTTTGTTTCCTTGGTGTCAGTTAAGCCGTCTTTTCCTGTGCATTGGGGTTAGTCCACGCTGTTGGGTGTCAATCTCTTGTGTCAGTTGGTCTGTGTTTCTTGTGTGTCTGGATGGGGCCGTGCTTGTAGGAATGGGTCTGTCCTGCCTCAGCCCCCACTCCACCTCCACCCCTCAGCCAGGCCCCAGCGTGCTGATGGTGGTGTAGCTTAGCCTGGACAGTGAAGCAATGGAGGGGGTGGGAGGGTCCTCATCTGGAAGAGGCCTGGGGCGAGCTCGTGGAGGCCGTGGGCAGCATCGGGCGCACGTGTCGAGGCAGGCTTGGCGAAAGCGACGGTGCATGAAGCAGTAGACCAGGGGGTTGACACAAGCCGAGGCGTAGCTCAGCAAGTGGATGAAAGAGATGGGCGCGCCCGAAAGCGCGCGGTGTGCGCCAGGGCCGTCGAAGGCGCGCCACGTGTTGGCGCTGTACACTGGCAGCCAACACAGGAAAAAAAGGACGACGATCACCAGCAACATCCGCACCACGCGCTTCTTCGCCAGCAGCTTGGCCTGGGCAGGCCGGAGGCCAGATCCTGGCCCAGGAGTGGGCGCGGTCAGCGCCGACAGCTCCAATGCAGGCCGGGAGCGCGGAAGCTGTACGTAACAGCCATCGCCGTCCTCACCAGCCAGCCCGATCTCTGGCCGGCAACGCCCGTTCTGGTGGGCAGGACCTGAGCACAGACCATGAGTGGTCAGACCATGAGTGAGTCTCAACTTCAGCCCAACCCACACCCGACCCCCCCTTTCCAGCCTTTCTGCTGACTTACTTCTTTCTGCCACACCCAGTCTAGGCTCCGCCCCTTTCTAAAGCCATGCCCCTACTGGATTTCACCCACCTGGTCGCGCCCCGCCCGGCGGCCCTTCTTGGCTTCGTACTCGGCCCTGGCTCTCGCTGTCACTGTGACCGTCAAAGCGGAGCCCTAAGTAGAGCTCGCGGGAGATAAGCCCGTAGGCCACCGCCATAACCACACCCGGGACGAAGAACAAGAGCAGGAGCAGCAGCACCGACCTGGAGGCAGAGCACAGACCATCATGGGGGTCTCTGTCTAGCTTCAATCACAGATGGAGGAAGAGCCAAGGATTGATGTTTCTAGGGCTGATGGCCAGGCTCCAGTGGTAGATTTGGGGGTGTTCTTGCGAAGGGCTAGAGAACTGGGAGGGGCCTCAAATAGGAATCCCAGGGTGGTGAGTGCAGAAAGGGAATTGGAGTGGTAATCCTTGGAGCAGCTGGGGGAAGATTCCGGGGAATGGTTGTAAGCATCTGATGGAGATGGAGAAGAGAATTCCCAAGAACAGGTAATGGGCCCCCTCACCAGGTTTGGCGAACCCGTGCACTGGGCCAGCGATGCACGCACTGCAGCACACGGGGCCCCGCTGGCTGCACGGCGGTGTACACAGGGTAGGGCACCATGAGCAGTCCAGACAGCATCCACGTGGCTACGATCACACGAGCCGCGTGGGAGCGCGTCTGCCACACGCGCGCCTGCAGTGGTCGGCAGATGGCGCTGTACCGCTCCAGGGCAATGGCCACGAGGCTTAGGGTGGACACGCTCACAGACACCCCTAAGCAAGGGAAGAGGAAGCAGTCATCAAGGAAACTTACACTACATATTCACCAATGGGACTTCCCCAACCCCCACCGGGAAACACCCTGACATCCAGCAAGGACTTTAGGAGGGGAAAGAGGCAAAGGGGGCAGGCTAGTTGTCTCACCTACCCATGAGATAGGAAACTGCCTTGCAGACGACTGTGCCAAAGATGAATGTGCCCATGAGATTGGGCAGGAGGGTGAAGGGCATGCAGGCCACAGCCAGCAAGAGATCGCTGACCGCCAAGGAGAGCAGGAAGGCGTTGGTGACGGTCCTCAGGCGGCGGCTCAGTCCCAGGACCACAATGATGAGCACATTTCCTCCAACACTCATCAGAAAGATCACTGCATAAAGGGTGACCCTAATGGCCAGCTCCAATTCTGGGTGGGAAAAGGGAGAGGTGGCAGTAGGCATCTGGCCTCCACTCAGCCAGACCCTCCAAGCTATCCATCAAACCCCAAACCCCACTACACAGCCAGATCCCTCTGCATCCCAAGAACGCCCAACCCTCACCCCCGCACCATAGGACCCACTCAGTCAACAGTGAACTTGAATCCTTCACCCTTCTAACTCCTTGAGGCTTAGTTAAGTTGGCCTAACTCTACCTTTCCTTAAGAAAGCCCATCTCTTCCCAAGCTTTGCTCTAAATCCTTCCTTCTCTTTGCAGACAAACTTCTTGAAAGGATTATTTGCATCTTCTCATTCACTCTCCGGTCCATTACAATGCAGTGCCCTGTCCCACCATCACGCTTTAGACACTTCTTCCCAAGGTCACTAAGCTTTAACTGCCAAATCCAAAGGTCTCTTCTCAGCCTATTCTACTAGACCTCCTTGTAGTATCTGACACTGTTGACCACACTACCTTTTGAAATACAGGTCTGATCATGTTCTTATATTGCCTAAAAAAACCCCCTTTACCTACTCTCTACTGTCTGCAACACTTTAGCATGTCATCCAGATTCTCTGAGAACTGCCTTCTTCCTCCTCCTCCTTCCTCCCTGCAATGCACCCACTTAAGCCACTGGATGACTCAGTTTCTTGAAGGCATCACGCACTCTCATGACTCTCTCCCTTGCTCACATTGGTTTCTCAGCCTGGAATGCTTTCTTATCAACCCCCCAGTAACACCCCTCCACCACAAACATGTTCAGGATGTCCTTCAAGACTTAGATCAACTGTCTCCTCTTCTGTAAGGCATTTCTGGACACCTCATTTGGAGTTAATCTCTCCTTCCTCTGACCCATGCATGAGCCTTACACATCTATTAGAACCCTTTTTTACTTTCTGCCTTGTATTTTAATTATCTCCAAACATTCATTCTCACTCAGCAAACATTTACAGAGGACTCCCTTTATGCCAGGCACTGGATCAAAGAGGTGAACACGACAAATTCCCTGCTACCTGAAAGCTTACAGTCTAGAGGGAAACTCAGACATATAAGCAGATAATTGCCACACAGTGTGATAAGGAGTGAGGGTGAGGAATATACAAAGTACTGTGGGAGCTCACAGGAGGGACGCTAGTGTTGCTGGGCTAGACAGAGGGCTGACCCCATTCATTTGTGTCATTGTCTATTGGGAGATGGTTTCATCTTTGGGCTTCTATATCACAGTCAAGCAGACCCAGACAAAACTGAATTGAATTAAACTAGACCCAGTAACCCATGCCAATGGCATCAGCATGAGAGAGACTGGAGCTTGAAGGGAGAGAGCGCAGGGGCAGAGCCTTCCAGGTTGTGGGGGAAGGAAGGTCCTAGAGCTGCAGCTCCCTCTTCTGCAGCCCTATACATTGGCTGACTTTTGCCTTAGCCCCCGAATTAATAAACTGTTTTCTCATAATGGTAACCAACTTATTCAGAAACTGTTGTAGGCATCAAGTAAGTAATATTTACAAGAGTGCGCCAACTGAACCCAGCAGTGACATTATTTGCTCAGAGTAAATAGTAAGTAGGGGGCTGCATCAGAATAGAAGCCAGGTCTCCAGATCTCTAAAATGCTTTGCCTCCTACTGGTCCCTCACTCCTCTGTCATTCATCGCACTGCCTCCTTCTCCCAATCAAATCTGAATCTCCGTGCCTCATTCTCCCTCTGTACTCTTTCATAGCATTTCTCACTGTATTATTATGTTTAATTCTCTATCTCCCCCACTATACTGTGAGCTTCTTGAGGACCGGGGCGATGTCCATCTTGTTTTCCAGCATATCCCTAGCACTTGGCATAATGTTCTGCAGGTAGGAGGTTTTAACACATGCTTGTTAATGAATTTTCAATGAATCTCTGTCACTCTCCACACAAACGCACCTGCTTCTTCCTCCCTCATTCATCCTTCACCTCTGTGCCTCTAAAGCTCCAGCATGCCCTCTCCTCTCTGCCTCTGTCTCTTTGGAGATGCATGTTGGAGGGTCCTTGGTGGCAGGGTCATTCACAGGCTGTGATTTTGTATATGTTACATTTACTATTATATGCAAACCATCTGTGTCTCATGTAGAAGCTGGGCCCCTCTCTGCAGGGAAAGCCTATGGAAGGCTTATGTGCGGCAAATTTGAGGGGGTGTGTGTGAGTGTGTAGGGGGAAATAAAGAACCTTTGGGAGGGATATCTCTGTCAGAGAGGTCCTTGGACCCATAAAAATAGAGCTGATGGTCTATCTTGCACTCTTTGTGTGTCCTCCCAGTCCACTGCCCCTCCCCCTCTCCCCTGCTCTTAGTCTCTCTAGTCCTATCATCTCAGATCCTCCTCTGGATGTCTCTGTTCAACTAGTTCTTGATTCAATAATCACATCTCAATTTGGTTCAGCACTCTGAAGTGTGAAAAGAACATTTCTCATTCATTCATCCAGCTGATGTGTCCCATGTGTGTGTCCTTGAACTTAGTGGAACAGAAAGATGAGACTATGCCCACCCTTATGAAGCTCCAAATCTGCATGGGGACTCCTAAAAACTAGAGGACAAAGTCCCAGTAAAAATAACCTGCAATTGTACAGCACTTTGCTGTTTCTCTGGGCATTCTCAGCTATTACCTTATTTCCAGCCACCACTATCTCTCCAAGTCTTTGCTGTTGAACAGTTCAGATATGTGAAAAAGACTAATTAAAAGCAATCTTAGACCTAGGGGTCTGGGGAGAGGGAGGGCGGGATGAATAGGTGGAGCACAGGGGACTTTTAGGGCAGTGAAACTATTCTGCATGGTACTATAATGTTGGACAGATGTCATCATATGTTTGTCAAAACCGGTAGAACATACAACATAAAGAGTGAACCCTAATGCAAACTATGGAATTTAGTTAATAATGCATCATTATTGGCTCATCGATTGTAATAAATGTACCATACTAATGCAAGATGTTAAGAACAGGGGAAACCGTGTGTGTGTGAACGCCCTGTACTTTCTGTTCAACTTTTCTGTAAACCTAAAACTGCTGTAAAAATAGTCTATTAATTTTTTTTAAAGTCACAAAAGAAGCAATCATAATGAAGACGTGTGTGTGTGTGTATATGCTTGTTTGTATCCTCCCATGTGTGTTTGTGTGGTGGAATATGGGTGACCACCCTGGCTTCAGTGACTGGGAACCTAAGGCAGAGTGGAAGGATGGGAGATGGCACCTCCTGGGGTACAGCCACTATTGCATTGACAGTCTACCTGTGGGCATCAACCTGCTGGGGATGACAGGAGAGCAGAAATCAGACCCGGGCACTCAGAAGACTGAGACAGTTCAGTTCTGCTTCTGGGGTCTGAAGAATCTGCATTTGTTCTGTCCAGATGATGACAGAGAAATATGAGCACAAAAATCCAGATAATGTGACATAAAACAAAAACCAGGCTTTTCTAAGAAAGGACTCCACAGAACACTGAAGCTGCTGATGCCTCAAATCCTGCCTTCCACTGGTGTGTTGGATCTGGTCACTCAGGCACACAGACATCAAAGTAATATTCATGTCTCTGTGGTGAGTCTGGATAGTAGCCACCTGATTGTGGGTATCAGCTGGGTAAACGGGGACATCCAAATGTCAATGGGTACTAACCGAAGGAGCAGAAGTAATATGCAAGGGTGTGTAGGTAATATCAGAGTGAGAACTGGGTAATACTTTAGTCTTTGAGATAATATCTGGGTGGGTAAGAGTCATACATATTTTTGTGGGCAATATCTGGAGAAGAGTAACAGCTATAGGTAACATCTGATTGAGTGTGGGTTACATGTCGTTTTAGGTAATATCTGAGTAAGTGTGGTAACATTTGTTCCAATTTTAGTATATGTGCTGCCGAAGCGAGCACTTGTTGTAACGTCTGAATGAGCAAGGGTAATATATATGTAGATGTGTCTACAGATAACATCTCATTTGTAGGTAACATCTTCAGGAAGCACTGTTACACTCAGAGGTCTGAATGTGAATGGGGGAATATCCAGTGATGATGGTAATAGCTGAGTGAGCAGAAGTAATATTCAAGTATGTGTGGAAAATATTTAAGTGAGTATGGACGTGAGATGTCAAGTTAACATGTTAAGATGTAAAGTAAGATGCTAATCTGATTGAGAAAAATAACTAAGCACCTGAGTGAATATAGGTACTATTCAAGTTTTTGTGGGTAATATCTGAATGTGTGAGAGGAATAGCTGTGATTTTATGGGTAATATCTGGAGAAGGGTTACTTAAATGAGTATGGGTAACATCTGATTGTGTGTGGTTAATAAAATGAAAGTGCATGTGTTTGATGGATAAGTAACATCCAAATGACTGTGGGCAATATTAAAGTGACTGTGGGTGACACCTGTTTTTCTGTGGGTAGCATCTGAGTGAACATGGGTAACATTCAAGTCTGTGTGGATTATATCAGGATAATGTGGGTAACATTCGAATTCCTCCTGGTAACACTGGAGTGAGCCTGGGTAACACACCTCTGGGGGAGTAATATCTGAGTGAGTGTGGCTAACAGAGTCTTTGTGGGTAACTTCTGACAGCCTGGGTAACATCCGACTGTGTGTGGGTAACAATATCCAGATGAGTGAGGCCAATTCTTACCTGATTCACTTTACATTTTGCTTTCTCAGGATCCCTTGCTCTATTGACTATCCCTACTATCTTTTGCACCTTCAACCTTCGTCTCTCTTGGACCATTGCCCCTTAACACTTAGAAGATGCTCTTGTCTTTACTACACACATACCCCCACAAGACAAAACCACACATACACACACCCTTCCTCAACCCCATGCTATTTCTAGTACTATCTTGCTTTTTCTTTGTGTCTCTCTCCCTGCCAAACTTCATGAAAGTTTTGTCTACACACCCTGGTTCACTTCTCATAACCCTCTCCCCTACTGGCCCAAAACTTAACCTGCTGTAGTCAGGCCTTAACAACTCCTCCTGAGCACTTCCTTGTTACTGAATCCAAAGGATGCTGTTCTGCCCTTATCCAACTTATATCAGCAGCATTTGACATCACTTATCCCACCCTGCTTGAAACTTCCTTTTTCCTTGCCTTCCTGTCTCTCTGATGGTTTCATCTTGATCACCTTCACGGACTTTCCTTGCTTTGCCTGGCTTTTAAATATTGGTCTTCTTCAGGGTCCTGTCTCAGGACCTCTTTTCTTTTCATCCTACACAATCTTTGTATGATTTTATCTATTCCTATGGCTTCTGTTACCTCCTCTAGGCAGACCTTTCAAGTCTGCATTTCCAGCTCATACCCCTCTCCCACATTCCAGCCCCTGGATTCAACAGCTTATTGGGCAACCCCACCTGGATAGCTCACCAGCATTTAAACTCAGTGGGTTCCAAACTGAACTTATAATCTCCTCTTTCAAACCTGTTTCTGTTCCTTTGTTATCATTCTCATTATATGGCATGAACATCCATCCAATTGTCCAAGCCAGAAACCTGGATGTCATGCCTTGACCTCTTCCTCCCTCTCCATTTCTAATAAATTGCCAAGTTCTATTGATTCCACTTCCTGAAGTGCCTCTTAAATCCATCCACTTCTCTCCACCCCCACTGCCAGTACCCTAGTCTAAGTAGTCTAAGCATCATCTTTCACGGAGACCAGTGTAATATAATAGCCTTCAGAAGCATCTGCCCGCCTCCCGCCTTCCATTTCTTGTTCTCCAGTCCATGCTCTACACTACAGAACTAATCCTGGCTGAACTACTGAGCCTTTCAGCAGTTCTCAGTGCCCTCAAGATAAAATAGGCATTCCTCAGCCAGGTCTACAAGGCTCTCCATAAACCCTCTAGGCTGGTCTTTATCCTGAGGGTTCATTATTCCTCTGTTATGGTACATGTCTCACTTAGAAACTATGACACACTGAACAAAAGTGCCATGGATTTAAACTTTGGGTGTTTACACATACTGTTCCTCTGCTTGGGTTGTTTTTTGCCTTTACTGCCCCTTCACTTGGCTGACTCTCCCTCAGCTTTTTTATTTAGTTCATACTTCATCTCCTCAGGAGGCCAACTTTGATTCCCAAGCCTAGGGTAGGCTAGGCTAGAGGGGCTCCTCTTCTGTGTCCCCACAGCCCTCTCAGGGCACCTCCCACTCTGCTGCAGTTTCCTGCTGACTTGTCTTGTCTCTCCCACTAACCTGGAGCTCTATGAAAGCTCTGTCAGTTTTGTTCTACTCACGTCCCTGGTGCCTAGCACAATCTCTGGTTCAATAAATATTTGCCGAATGAAAGAATCTAAGTGAGAGTGTATAACAACTGGTCTGAGAAAGCATGCATTATTTTGTGGGGTAAATTAATACTTGAATTACAATTTATTCCCACTTTCCCTTCTTGAGCTTGGAATAATTTCCTTTTGCTTAACCCTGTTCTCTCTCCTGGAATCCTGTTTCCTCCTTTTCTGACTACTGAACTCCAACTGCAAGACTCAGCTCCCAGGTTCCCTCTGTGAAGTTCTCAGACTCCATCTCCTTTGGGTGTCCATGATTCAGACCCTCTTGTGGGACTTCCCATACTGACTTTGACTTTTCCACTAGTTTTGTCTCCCCTCTGCACCTGACTATGGGCTGATAAGGGTCCAGACCGGGTCCAGTTTATCCCTGTGTCCCCAGCACCTAACCCAGGGACTACAATAGCAGGTGTCCAGTAAACATTTAAGGAAAGAAAAGGTCAAGGAAGGGGAAAAATATATTTTGAGCTGGATCATCAGGAAAATGTGGATATTGGCTGATAGGAGGAGTGAAAGTCATTTTGGGGACTGGATGAATGGAAGCAGTCTGGAGTTGTGGGGAGAAGATGGTAGCACAAAGGGATGGGGTGATGAATGGGGCAGCCAGGCTCTAGGAGGGTGAAACCCAAGGAAGGGCAGCTTGGAGGGACTTGGAAGAGACCTGGAGACGTTACTTGGAGACAGAGAAAGAAAGAGGGTACAGAGCCTTGAGAAGAACTCTAACTTGGGATGCATGGGGATTTGAGGATGAGTGAAATGGAGACAGGCAGCTCTAGGGAGCAGCCCCCAGTGCCCAGCCTAATTCAGGTTAGAGGATATCTTTTGGGAAGGCCTGAGGTGTTAAGGTGCGGGAGACAGAAGATTATAACTCAAACTTCCCACTCAGGCCTTCCAGAGCGTTCCCTCCCCAAAGCAGTCCCCTTCTTTTTCCGAATCTTGCCTTCCTTTCTTTCCTTCCTCATTGTGGCTTTGTGAACTGAGTGTAAAAGGAAAAGAGAGACCTGGAAAGGTTGGCAAAAGGAGGTCCTTGCCTCCCCACTATCGGCGTCTAGGAGGGGGCTGTGTGTTGGGGAGGATGCTGTGTTTTGGGGGTGACCAGGAGCTCTGGGTGTGACCAGGGGACCAGGGTGTGAAGGTGCTCTGACAGGGTAGTGTGAAGCTGTAATGGAGTTTTACGAGCTGTGGGGGACAAATGTGTCAGGGGGAGCTGTTTGGGGACTCAGGCAGTACTATAAGGGGATGGTGTGGGCGTCTGAGGAGGCAGTGTAGAGGCTGTGGGGGGCCCTCTATTAGTGCTGTGGTGCAGTGAGAAGGAGCTTGTGGAGAGGGCTTAGGGAGGCACCCACCTCGTGTCCCGGCTCCGCGGATGCGAGGGGGCTCGCAGCTGAGGTTGCCGGTACCGCTGCTGTTGAGGAGGGGGCCCCCCGGACGGCACAGGGGAGCCCCCGGCCCGGGTCCGGATCCCTGCACGCTCCGGTTCAGCTTTAGCAGCTCCATGGCCCCGGCCCAGCCGCCGCCTCCCACCGCTCGCCGGGCGGGCTCCCGCTGCGGCTCCACCTGCTCACGCTGCGATTCCGGCTGAGGCTCGCGCCCCGCCTGGTCCCCGCCCCCAACCTCGGCCCCTGCCCCTCCACTCCTCCGCTCGCCCCGCCTAGGCTCGCGTCCCTCCCAGGCTCGGGTCCGCTCTGTCCCACCAGGTGACTCTCCGCACCCTCCCCCGCTCAGGGCTTACTCGCCCCGCTGTGTGACTGTCCTTCAGGCTCTCCCCTCCCTAGATCTCTCCGGTCTTCTCTTAGAGATTTGCTTCCCGCCCACTCCCCTTCACCATGGGTTCCGGGGATTCTCGGGAGTGTGTGTGTGTGTGTGTGTGTGTGTGTGTGTGAATATGTGTGTTGGCGGGGATGGGAGTGGGGGTTAGGTGCGGATGGAGAGGTTGCGAGGAGGGAGGTTGCGGGGGAGGGAGGGTAAGAGGGGTGGGGTAGGGCGCGGCTGCCGTGGGGTCTAGCATCTTTCCCTCGAGGGTCAGGAGACGTGGAGGTGGCAACTGAGACGGAGGCAGCGTGGGAGTCACTGGCTGCGGCGCAGATGCCTTAGCGCGCGCGGAGCGCCGCGGTTACCGTACTATGCCGCAGTGGCCGCAGTGACCGCGACACTATTGCTACCGTAGTTCCCTGCGGCTCCTCGCCGCGGGGCCAGTGTAGTCCCTGCATCTACCCCCGCACCTGCGACCTCCTACTTCAGGTCCAGCATCCAGGCTTCCACCCAAAGCTCCCAAGGAACCCTCCGCAGCGGGCGAGGATAGGGGGGTGGGAGGGGCAGCATTTGTCCCAGGGGAACTCTGGCAGGGTAAAGGGCTGCCCGGAGGAATAGTCTGACTTGGGTGTTGAGGGCGGCCGGGGTGGTGGTGAGAACCGCCTAGGATAAAGCGGGTGGGGAGGGGAGGGTGGGATATCGTTGCAATCCCTGCCCAGCGCACGTGTAAGAGAGAAGAGGCGGCCGGCTTTCTCCGTGGTCTCCAGGCAGCGCCCACTCTCACCAGACACACTGACGCTCCCTGTTTGCTCTCAGCGCAGGTGGAGCAGCCTGTATAGGGCGTCAGGTTCCCACGGAAGGGGGCTGGAAGGGGGCTGCATCACTGGGGTGCAGCGGGAACAAAACTGAAGGGGGCATGCGGAGGACTGAGGTGGGTTCATCTCCTTGGGCAGGACTAGCCTCTTCTAATATTTCAGCCCTGCTCGCTATCCATTTCCTCCATTCCAAAGAAACTCCAACATGACCTGAAATTCTTCTCTGGCCTCCAGCAGTAGCTGTCAGAGATGGAAGCATCAGTCAAAGAGCAGATTACACTGGGATGAGGTCTGAGTTTATGGGGAATTCAGAAAGCTCTATCCAGTCAGTCTTTGGGAGATGCTCTGTTTCAGCAGAGCTGAGTTTGTAGGGGCTGGGGCATTGAAGGAGGGTTTAAGCCTGAGGTGGGTGGAGATGTTGTCACCTGCTTCCCCCCACGCGCCTCCTGGCACAGCCTGCCTTCATCATCAGAGAGCTCTGGACCAGAGGAGCCTGATTTGCTGTTTGTTCAGCCCCAGCACAGGTGGGGCCTCAGATAACCTGCTGGACTTTTCCCACATTGGATAACGGTGGGGTGTGGGCATGGGGGAGCAAAGGAAATATAGGGGAGAGAGGAGTGGAAATAGAAGTAGACGGGCATTCACTTATTCAGCAAAGTATGTGTCAGGTATAGGGCTGTGCACTAGCTGTCCCGTACAGTCTGTGCCTGAGTAGCTCCCACTCTAGTGGGGGAAAATGACAGGTCAGCCAATGATTACACCAAGATGGACAAATCAGAAATTTAGGAATCACCCTGGATCTTTACTCCCTTACGTTGCTTCATCCCTATAGTGTGGTTGGCAGACAGCCCTCAACTGTCAGCCCCTTTGGGAGTTTCCTGAGCTGAAGAAAGCTGGCTTATCCAAGGACATGTCCCCTCTCTGGGGCATCCTGCATCCAATGACTGGTCAGCACAGAGGTATAAAGGTTCAGCCCCCTCACCTCAACTCTGAAGGATGTTCACAGCTCCTCGTGGGGTTGACTGAGGCCTTTGTTGGGACTGAATTACTGCTCAGCTTCTCCCTTTGCCCAAACCTAATTTCATCCTCTCTCTTACACAGGTGTTGACTCCAAGAGCACGCCTTAGTAAACATCCTCCACAGTAATCTCTGTCTTAGAGTCTGCTTCCTGGGGAACATAACTGCCTCACTCCCGTATTCAATCAATCATGAAGTCCTGTTGATTTAGCACTTAGTGTTCCTTGAATCGGTCTGCTCGCATCTGCACTGCCATTGCCCCGCTGTTTCTTGTACTACTCTTGTAGCCTCCTAAATGGTCCACCACATTTTACTGATACCTCCTTTCATTCATCCTCCACCTCATAGCCAGAGTGATATGTTCAGAATACAAATCTGATTATGCTACTCTTCTGACCTTTGCTTTTGGGATAGAGAAAACCTTTTAACAGTGTCTATGAAGCCTGCATGGCCTGGGTCCTACTGACCTCTCTAACGATCTTATTTCAAGTCACTATGCTTCTTGTTCTCTCCACTGTAGACACACTGGCCTTTATTTAGTCCATTTTTTGGGTATATGTCCTCCAGTTATATGGCTTTTCACATGCTCTCTGGAAGCTTTCCTTCCTTATCTAATTAACTCCTACTCATCCTTCTGATCTCAGCTCAAGATCTCAGCATTTCTCAGGGATGTTTTTCCTGGCTTCCTCTTCTGTAGTAAGCAGAGTTATAAGACGACCCCCAGTGACTCTCACTCTAGTATAATCTCTTTCCCTGAGTGTGGGTGGAACCTGTGAATATGATGAAATATTACTCCCATGATTATATTATATGGCAAAAGAGATTTTGCAGATGTAATTAATGTTACTTAGCAGTTGACCTCAAGATAGAGAGATTATCCAACTAGTCCTAACCAAATCACTATGAGTCCTTTAAAAGCCGAAAGTTTTTTCTGGTTGGAAGCAGAAGAGGAAGTCAGAGAGATTTGAAGAAGGAGGATTCAACACACTGTTGCTGGCACTGATGCTGGCTTGAAGATGGAGGGGGCCATGAGGCAAGGAATGCAGTGGCTGTGGTTGGCTTGAGGATGGAGGAGGGCACAGAGCAAGTACCTGAAAGTGGCCTCTAGCTGAGAGCAGTCTCTGGCTGACAGCCAGCAAGAAAATAGGGGCTTTAGTCCTAGCACTGCAAGGAACTGGATCCTGCTAATGACAAGAATAAGCTTAGAAGCAGATTTTTCCCCAGAGCCTCCAGAAGAGAATTTAGTCTGCCTGACACCTTAACTTCAGCCTGGTGATACCTTGAGCAAAGAACCCAGCCATACTGTACCCAGCCTACATGTCTGTGAGCTAATAAATGGATGTTGTTTTAAGCCACCAAATTCATGATAATTTGTTACAGTAGCAATAGAAGACTAGCATATCTCTCATATCAGGAGGTAGCAAATGCAAACCCTTTCAAGGCATGCAAGGAAGAAGTGGGAGCATTGGAAATTTGTTAAGATTTAGAAATATTTGGAGAGATTGCAGTGGCAGCTGGTATGGAGAGCAACTTGAGGGGAGGGACTAACTGGGAGTGCAGACCAACTGGGAATAATGACAGTTATTCAGGTGACAGATAACTACATGAACTACAGTCATGGAGGTAGTGGAGAAGATGGATCCAAAAGCTATTTAGGAGATAGAGAGACAGAATTTAGAGATTGTTTGCATGTGGAAGGTGAGGGAGAAGGATGAGATTAAAGTGAGTAATGTTTCTGGTAACTTAGGATAGGAACTGTTGGATGATCACCTCCTATGTTCCAAGCATATCCTCACAAAGAACTACAAATTTAGGTCCAATATTATTAATGACTGTTTTAGAGGAAAAAACTAGCTCAGAGAGTGTTTTAGTAACTTTCTCAAAGCCACAAAGCTGAAAAAGCCACAATTCAAAGCCAGGGATTTTGGAAGTCAGAATTCAGGTGCTCATTCTATGCTGCTTCCCAGAATGTGTAAGTTTTACTAAATTTCTCTGATCGCTTTCTTTCTCTCATTTTACACAATATTTTTTCAAATTTTGTTGACTCATAAAATCTCTAATTTCATCACACATACACACACACACCCACCATCCTTCACTCATAATAAATAAGCCAGCCTCCCACTTGATAGGGAAAATAGAAACTATCAGACAGCAACTCCCACCAGCGAATCCGTTCCATTTTGGACATGTGAAGTTTCAGATGCCTATTGGACATCTAAGTAGGAATTCAGTAGGAAGCTGAATATACAAGTTGCATAGGAAGTACTATAAACCACAGAATTAATAAGAGTGTGTTGAACAAGAAGACATGAGGAACCAGGTCAGAAGTCTGGAAAAGACCGTGATTTAAAGGCTGGATAGAGAAAGACCAGCCTGCACAAGGTGCTGAACTGAGCCAAATGCTGCTCCTGGATCAAGAAAAATGAGGACTGAGAACAGTGCTCTGAATTCAGTGACCTGGAGATCCTCGGCATCCTTGGAAAGAGCCATTTTGGTGAAGTCGTTGAGGCAGAAGACGGATTGAGTGTACTGAAAACTGAATGTGATAAGAGGAAGAGCAGTGAGTAACTTTAGGCAAGACTTTTAGAAGAATGGTTATTAAGGAAAGGAAAGAGGGGACTGTGGAATAAAAGATGTTTTTAAGATGGAAGAACTAGAACAATACTTTTTTGGCAGATGGAATTACCCCAGCATATAGAAAAGACTGAAGATAGAGGAGAGGTGGGGCAAAAGTTAATTACTAAAGCAAAGAGTGAGTGAGAGAGAGAGAGAGAGAGAGAGAGAAGTTAATTACTAATGCAAGATTCCTGAGAAGGTAGGGAGGTATGGAACCCAGAGCATGTGTGGAGGGTTCTAGCTTTTGATAGTGGAGACTCAATTGTAAGAGGAAGTTAGTAGAAGAGAATAATTATAGGTGAAAATAAGTCATGGCCAACCAGATAACAACTATATGTCATAGACTCTTTTGCAGCCAAGTGTGGCCTTATGACTGTGTTCTGGACAGTAGTTGTGGGTAGAAGTGATAAGTGCAGCTCCCAGATCAAGCTCTTAAAAGAAAGGAGTGGACTCTCTCTTCCTCATTGTCCTTTCCTGCAAGCTGAATGTGGATGTGATGGTAAGCCACCTTCATTCATGCAGTGAGGGTAATACACTAGGCATGGCAGAGTGACAAGATGGAAGGAGCCTGGGTCTCCTATACTTTCCAGCCATTTTACCACTCCTGGTTCTCCTGTATGAAAAGGAAAGAAACTACAATCTTAAGGCTCTACAATTTTTTCTCT